TTTACTGTGGGCTACCTGCCCGTATTTATGCAGGTCTCCCACTTGGTGGACACTCCCCTAGGGGACCAAATGGGAGACTTAAATGACAGACAGATATGGGGACATTCCAGACACACAGTCACAGATTTTACCCACAGTGCATTATGATTCCCTCCCCTCTGCCCTGGAGTTAATTACCAAGTAACTCAATTAACTCCAGGACAAAGCCAGTCGCCATCTTAGACATAAAATAATAAAAGACATAAAAATATATAACTACACGAAAACCGAACATTTCCCATTCGTATCACCCATCCCCAGATAGCCTGGATCTGAGTGCATATTATTAGCGAATAGCGCTCAGATCCCACACACATAGTTCAATCGCCATGGAGTCAAAGTTCTTACAGTCTTTCGGTATACGAATGACTCCATGGAAGGCTATCTGGGTTAAGTCTTTTCGTATGCTCTCAATCTCCCGAACGGCCGGTGTTCGCATGCTTTCGTGGAGGCAGCCAGGCGTTCCGTTGTTTCAGCGGTGTTCGGCAGAAAAAGTGTCCGTTTTTAGTTCCATAGAAATAGAGCCAAACACCGCTGGGCGTTCGCTTGATTTAAAATGGCCGCTGCCTCGTGGTCGACATACGAACGACGACCACCCTGAATTCGTGTAATTGAGAAGTGTCTGCAGTTAACCACAACGTTCTAATTGGGATCAATAGGTTAACCAGCAGCACACTTCTCTCCTGGGTGGCCGTCCGTTCGGCAGGTTTGTTCGGGAAAAAGAGTCATTCGAATGGCTGGGCTATAGAAACCAGCCATTCATACGAACGGGAGACAAACAGACGAATGCAATTAAAATCCAAGCAGACAGATGGTTCTGTCACACGGCTCCCTCCTTGTGGGACACTCCGGCAGACCCGGCTTGACCCTGTGGCGGGTCAACTTGGGGATGACCGGACTACGAGGTAAGGGAAACGTCTGTTTGTCGTGACAACCCATCTGCATTCCCGTTCAGCTTACCGGGTCTGTAACTGATGGTAAAATTGTAGGGCTGTAGTGCCAAGCTCCATCTCAGCAGTCTCCCATTGTCTCCTGAGACCCGGTTAAGCCAAACGAGTGGGTTGTGATCAGTCACCAGGGAAAACTCTTGTCCATATAAATAGGGGCTTAACTTTTTCAATGCCCAGACCAAGGCCAAGCACTCTTTCTCCACTGCCGCATAACTCACTTCTCTGGGTAACAACTTTCTGCTGAGATATGCGACAGGCTGCTCTCCTCCATCTTCCCCGACTTGGCTCAGCACAGCCCCCAGTCCATACATGGAAGCATCTGTATGGACGAGAAAGTGTTTGTTAGGGACTGGGGCAGCCAAGACAGGGGCATTCACAAGAGCCTGCTTCAGTGCCTGGAACGCAGCTTCACAAGCCGGAGACCACAGGACCTGCTTAGGCAAGTTTTTCTTGGTCAGGTCTGTCAGGGGCTTAGCAATGGCGCTGTAGTCAGGGACAAAACGTCTATAGTGCCCTGCCGTCCCCAAGAAGCAGGGCCGTCTTTAACGTGGGGCAAACGGGGCAGCTGCCCCGGGCCCTGTCCCTGCTGGGGGGCCCGAGGTAACTGCCCTGTTTGCCCTCTGCCCGCAAACTATGGGGGCCCACCGGGTGGCCCATGCACTTAGGGCCAGCCGGTGGGCCTGTGTCAGCAGGGGCCCGGTCGGGCACTGTGGCGCTTTAACAGCCCTTGCTTTTCGGCAGCAGTGGGAGGAAGTGACAGCCGTGCGTCACTTCCTCCCACAGAAACTGGAGCCGCGCGGGAGAAAGTTGCACAGACCCCTGATCTAGATCCTACTATTGTACAATTTTTAACAAAATCAGGGAAGAACCCAAATAAAGGTCTTGACAGATCACTAAAATCTTGTCAAGATAAATTAATGGACATTTCTGGTCCTGTGGCTAAAATGTTTGAAACTTTGGAACATGCGGCAGCTTCTGGGAATCCTCCCAGCATTGATACTTTGAGAGGCTGGACCAATGCATTATATGCTTTTTGGGGAATGCTAACGCAGCCCTGACCAGCAAACGCCGCAGGTCTATTTTAATGAAAATTAACCCTCAACTGTCAAATTTAGCCACTTCCGAACCTGGTCCAGCTGCGGAAGGTCTCCTATTTGGAGAATCCTTTATTAAAGACATTAATAAATATGTCAATCTATTTAGTTCCCTTGATAAGGCTCAGTCATCCTTGAGGAAAGTTTTCAACCCTGAGGTTTTCAGAAGGGCTGGAAGAGGAAAGAACCGTTCTTCCAGCCATTCCTTTCAGCATAGACAGGTTCCAAGGAACACCTTTCAACCCACCAGGCCCTCATATGACTCCCAACATTCAACTCCTTTCTTTCCACTACGTGGCAGACCTTGGAGATCAAGAGGCCATCGAGGAATGTCTTGCTTCAGATCTTCATCCGGTGCGTACGACAACCCCCCTTTCTTCCCTGGTAGGGTTAGGGGGCAGACTCACTCGTTTTTTCCTTGTCTGGAGTCAGATTACAAACGATTCTTGGATACTAGACACGATTCTAGGTTACAAACTAGATTTTATAACATGCCCTGTGCAAAGAAACATGCCTTTCCCGATAAATTTATCAACCCAAGACCAGGCCCTGGTGCATCAAGAAATATTAAGTTTATGCTCAAAAAATGCCATCATACAGGGGCTCATGAGCACCCCAGGCTTCATAAGCAATTTATTCTTGGTGAAAAAGAAAGATTCTGGTCACAGACCAGTCATAAACTTGAAATACTTAAACAATTTTGTCAGATACCACCATTTCAAAATTGAGGAAATTTATTACCTCAAAGACCTATTGATGTTCAACGACTGGTTGATCAAAATAGATTTGAAGGATGCATACCTCACGGTACCTATCCACCACTCATGTCAGAAATATTTACAGTTCCTATGGTAAGGGAAGCAGTGGCGTTGCTAGGGGGGGGCCAGAGGGGGCCATGGCCCCCCCTACATCATCCTGTGCCCCCCCTTGGGCCCCCCCAAATGCCAGCAACTTGCTGGCCATGGGCTTCCCTCGGACTGTAACAGCCTGTGACAGCCCGAGGGAATGCAGGAGAGAGGTGCTGGGGGCTGTCTGTGGCCGGAGGGAGCACTGATTGGCTCCCCGGCACAGGCTCCGCCCCCAAACGAAGCCCCGCCTCCCGCCGGTAAGCCCCGCCCCCGCCGTTATGCAGCAGCCCATGCTGCTGCTGAAGATGGCTGCCTGACCCCCAAAGGTGACAGGTAGGCTGGGGGGGGTGTACACACACACATTGCCCCCATACACACACACTGTCCCCCATACTGCCCCCCCATACACACACATTGCCCCCCATACACACACACTGTCCCCATACAGCCTCCCATACACACACACTGCCCCCATACAGCCTCCCATACACACACACTGTCCCCCATACACACACATTGCCCCACACACTGCCCCCCATACACACACTCTGCCCCCCCATACACATACACTCTACACACATACACTATCCCCATACACACACTTACACTGTATGGACTCAGCAGTCTGTGTGTGTGTGTGTATGGACTCAGCAGTCTGTGTGTGTGTGTGTATGGACTCAGCAGTTTGTGTGTGTATGGACTCAGCAGTCTGTGTGTGTGTGTGTGTGTATATGTGTGTATGGACTCAGCAGTCTGTGTGTGTGTGTATAGACTCAGCAGTCTGTGTGTGTGTGTATGGACTCAGCAGAGTCTGTGTGTTTGTGTGTGTATGGACTTAGCAGTCTGTGTGTGTGTATGGACTCAGCAGAGTGTGTGTGTTTGTGTGTATGGACTCAGCAGAGTGTGTGTCTGTATGGACTCAGCAGTCTCTGTGTGTACGGACTCAGCAGAGTCTGTGTGTGTGTATGGACTCAGCAGAGTCTGTGTGTGTGTATGGACTCAGCAGTCTGTGTGTGTGTATGGACTCAGCAGTCTGTGTGTGTGTATGGACTCAGCAGAGTGTGTGTGTGTGTGTATGGACCCAGCAGTCTGTGTGTGTGTATGGACCCAGCAGTCTGTGTGTACACGGACTCAGCAGTCTGTGTGTGTACGGACTCAGCAGAGTCTCTGTGTGTGTATGGACTCAGCAGTCTGTGTGTGTATGGACTCAGCAGAGTGTGTGTGTGTGTGTGTATGGACTCAGCAGAGTCTGTGTGTGTGTGTGTATGGACTCAGCAGTCTGTGTGTGTGTGTATGGACTCAGCAATCTGTGTGTGTGTGTGTGTGTGTGTGTGTGTGTATGGACTCAGCAATCTGTGTGTGTGTATGGACTCAGCAATCTGTGTGTGTGTGTGTATGGACACAGCAGTCTGTGTGTGTGTATGGACTCAGCAGTCTGTGTGTGTGTATGGACTTCGCAGTCTGTGTGTGTGTATGGACTCAGCAGTCTGTGTGTGTGTATGGACTCCGCAGTCTATCAATAATTAAAATTCCTGTGAGTTGTTGTGTAGGAAGGGCCCCAGTGTATTGCTTTGCCCAGGGGCCCTTAACTCTGTTAAAATGGTACTGCTTGTGTGTGTCAGTGAGCTTCTATTTAGTGAGCATGTGTGTCAGTGAGCTTGTCTTTAGTGAGCTTGTGTGTGTCCCTGAACTTCTTTGTAGTGAGCCTTCTGTTTATACAAGTGAGTGTCTGTAGTAAGCTTGTGTGTGAGTCAGAGAGTTTTGTCTGTCAGTAAGCCTGTTTGCGCATGTCAGTGAGCTTGTGTGCTTACTGTACTATATATATATTTTGACTTGTAGGAATGGCATACGTTTTTTTTCCAGGGCTGCTTTGGATTCCCAGGGATTCCCAGTTTGGCTCTGCCAGCGAGTGCACTTTACCGCTGAATAATCTGTGTGGGCTGCCGCACACTTTAGCCCTGTTACACGCGTCTGGGAGCTGCTGTTGACAGGTACTAGTAGTCTAGAGATTGGGGTATATGCTCAGCTATCTGTATAATACAGATCTGTGTGTATAAAATATCCCGGGATAGTCAGTGCTTCCTGTATAGTGCTGCTCTCTGTTTTGGGATTATACAGAGAGCAGCACTATACAGGGAGCACTGAGTGTCCCAATTTATTATACACACAACCCTGTATTATACAGAGAGCACTGACTGTCCAGGGATATTATACCCAGACAGTAATTGATAGCTGTGCTGCAAAATGTCCTTGGAAATTTTTTTTCAAATGTTGGCAACTATGGCACTGTATCAAGGATAATGTGTTTGTTTTTTTAATAATGCCTGGTGGAAAATAATGAATCCTCCACCAGGTATTATTAAAAAAACACATTGTGTCGGGGGCGTGGCTTAACATGTGACAGGGGCGGGGTCAAACTGCGGCGAAGGCGGGGTTAAATGTGCCCCCCTACTTTTGTCACTGGCCCTCCATGTGCCCCCCCGAAAAATGAATCCTAGAGACGCCACTGAAGGGAATAAATGGCAATTCAAATCATTGCCATTTGGTTTATCCTCTGCACCTTGGTGTTTCACCAAATTACTGAAACCAGTAATATCCCTACTTCAAAGCAGGGGAGTAAGAATGATAATCTATCTAGACGACATATTGATTATGTCACAGAGTGTGCAAACTCTTCAACTACATTCTCAATGGACATTGAATCTGTTAACAAGCCTTGGCTTTGTAATAAGTTACGAAAAATCGATTTTAACTCCCTCTCAGGAGATAGAATTTTTAGGATTTCTAGTGAATTCCAATTTAGCCACTCTCAGCCTTCCATCACGGAAATTGAAAACAATTCGAAAAGAGATCAGGTCAGTTCTAAAGAAGGAATTAATTTCCATCAGGTCTTTAGCACAGATTGTAGGACTTTTATCAGCCTCGATCCAGGCTATCTTTCCAGCCTCCCTTCACTATCAGGCTCTTCAAAGATTGAAAAGAGAACATCTATGCAACGGTCTCCTCTATTCAGATGAGATTTCTCTAACTTCAGAGACAAGAACAGAACTATCCTGGTGGTTAGATCACGTTCAAATTTGGAACGGGAAAGCCATTTTCACGTCATTCCCAGACCTAACTATAGAATCAGATGCAAGTCGATTAGGCTGGGGAGCCCATTGTGGAGGCAATTCCACAGGAGGCAAATGGTCTCTAGAAGAGATGAATATGCATTTAAACTGCCTGGAACTCATGGCAGGGTTTTTCGCTCTACGCAGTTTTTCAAAACACAGATCCCATTTGTCACATATTCATCCGCTTATAGAAATGTGGTTAATGACATTTACTGTCCACACAGGAAAAGTTGTGCCGAGCAGCAACCTAATCCACAGAAGGGTTAATGCTGAGCAGTAATTGTGCAAATGAAACCTGGTGTCATGTATTCATCCGCTTAGAGAAAAGTGATTAATGACATTTACTGTCCACACAGGAAAAGTTGTGCCGAGCAGCAACCTAATCCACAGAAGGGTTAATGCTGAGCAGCAATTATGCAAATGAAACCTGGTAACTGACTTTGGGGTCAAAGGCCGGTTACAGCCTATCAGAACTAAAGGAGGGGTATTTAGGCCCAGTTCTCAGCCTGCTCAGTGCCCTGTCGTGGTTTCCCTTGTGGTTGTCTGAGAGCGCGTTCCTGTTTATAGTTTTCTACCTGGTTTTTGACTTTGGCTTTGTTTATTGACTTCTCTATATTCTGGTATCCTGACTCCTGGCTTTCCTCATCGCTGTGTCCCTTTCTGTGTTCCCTGACCTCGGCTAGTATTTTTGACTATTCTTTGTACGTTAAATCCGGCCATTCTAAGGACCGGTAATATGTTACTTATTTGTCATCCATGCTGTACAGTTCTACGTGCTGGATCAAACAGTAATCCTGACACCATTGTTGTATCCTTCTCAAGATGGACAACATATCAGCAGTCCAATATATAAATTGCTGAGGAGGTACAAAATCCAAGCAACTGGCTGATATTGCCAAAGAATTATGGCATTTTTGCCTCGATCGAAAGAAAACGTTACGAGCAGAATACCTTCCCGGCCTTTCCAATACAGTAGCAGATTGGAATTCCCGCTTCCTACTGGATTACAGCGAATGGATGTTGGATCCCAACATCTTCCAACGACTACTTGCTTTGTGGGGTCCATTTCAATACGACCTCTTTGCATCACGGCTCAGTCGCCAACTAGAAACATTTTTCAGTTGGTGTCCGGATCCAGAAGCAGTAGATCAAGATGCTTTCCTCCAATGTTGGAAAGACGGAATCAATTATGCTTTTCCCCCGTTTACGATGATATCCCGGGTACTTCTGAAAGCATGGTTCCAGAAATCGACCTTAGTGGTTATAACCCCTCTCTGGCCATCACAACCATGGTTCCCTCAACTACTCAGCATGCTGATAGACTACCCACGACTCATACAGATGCGTCAGGATTCTCTTCGTGACCCAGAGGGAAATTTTCATCCTCTAGCGCTGTCGGGCCAACTACCCTTGATTGCATCTCTCATTTCGGGTCATTCGAATCTCATAGTAAATTTTCAAACACTACTAGAGACATTCTCTCAGAAGCATGGGCACCAGGAACCCATGCAAATTACAGATCAGCCTGGAAAATTTGGCTTAATTGGTGCATGGGACGGGCAGTGGATCCCATGCATTCAGATTTAGCAAACATTCTACATTTTTTGTCAGCCTCTTTTGACTCAGGGAAAGCTTATCACACCATTAATGTCTATAGATCTGCTATCTCAGCAAATCATGACCCTATTGAATTTTTCCCTGTGGGTAAACATCCTCTAGTCTGCAGACTTATGAAGGGTATCAGATTTAAACGTCCTCCATGCCCTAAATATAATTCCACCTGGGATGTTACTCTGGTACTCCAGTTGATAGAATCATGGGGTGCCAATGATTCATTATCCTTAAAATTGCTTTAGTTTAAGCTCACCACATTACTATGTCTCATCTCTTTCAAAAGAGTTTCTGACGTTAAGGCTTTAGACTTAAATAATAGACAATATACTCCTGATGGTGTTAATTTTCCTATTGTGAGACGTACCAAAACTAATCTCCGTACTGTATTCTATCCTTCATTTTCTGACCATCCTCTTCTAGGTGTGGTTAGTTGTCTTCAAACATATGAGTTTAAAACCTCTTTGATTCGAAATTCTAATTTCTAGCAATTACTAATCTCTTTTCGTAAACCTTTTCTGCCTGTCTCCTCTACGTCTTTAGCTAGATGTCTATGGCAGGTATTAATATTTCAATGTTTGGAGCTCACTCATTAAGAGGAGCTATGACTACTAAAGTGTTTCAAGCAGGAGGCTCTTTATCAGATCTGTTAAAAACGGCAGATTGATCTTCAGAATCTACATTTAAACAGTTTTATTTTAGACCTAGCCTGCATGTTTCAAAAATAATATTGTAATAACTTCCGATGTATGTTATATTATGACTACATAGCTTTGAACATGCATAATACGAGCCAACTGTCTTGTTATAAAATTCAAGATTTTCCTAGTCTTGACGTCAGAAAATATAGATTGTATTAAAGACAGGAGGCGAGTATTATCCCTCCCATTAACCCACCCTGTTATTTATATTTCAGCTTAATCCTGTTTGGAGTTTCATCATTCTATCCTTGGAATTACTCTACTAGACAGAATATTGGGGATCATTCACTATATGGACTATGCTGGATGCTGATTGGCTACCAACGTTCCATTTCAGTTAAAAAAAAATTCAGTTTTACCTTTTTTATTCACTATACTTTATTGAAAAAATGTCTTTGCTGCTGGAGTTAAGTAAAGAAAGTTAATGCATAATACTCGCCTCCTGTATTGTTATAAAATCTATATTTTCTGACATCAAGACTAGGAAAATTTTGAATTGTATTCATTAAGATTCGGAAATATCTGTCGTTAAATGATAAATAATCCAAATGCTGATTACTGATATGGTTCTTTATGATTTAACAAATAGTGACATACTATTTGCTGGGTGTCTCAATCAACTGAGTAAATAATCCATATACTAACTGTGACAGAACCATCTGTCTGCTGGATTTTTGCCCGTTTGTCTGTTTGTCCCCCGTTCGTATGAATGGCTGGTTTCTATAGCCCAGCCATTCGAATGACTCTTTTTCCCGAACAAATCTGCCGAACGAACTCAGGGTGGTCGTCGTTCGTATGTCGACCACGAGGCAGCGGCCATTTTAAATCATCCGAACGCTCAGCGGTGTTTGGCTCTATTTCTATGGAACTGAAAACGGACACTTTTTCTGCCGAACACCGCTGAAACAAGGGAATGCCTGGCTGCCTCCACGAAGCATGCGAACACCGGCCGTTCGGGAGATTGAGAGCCTACAAAAGACTTAACCCAGATAGCCTTCCCATGGAGTCATTCGTATACCGAAAGACTGTAAGAACTTTGACTCCATGGCGATTGAACTATGTGTGTGGGATCTGAGCGCTATTCGCTAATAATATGCACTCAGATCCAGGCTATCTGGGGACATGTAATACTAACGGGAAATGTTCAGTTTTCATGTAGTTATGTATTTTTATGTCTTTTATTATTTTATGTTTAAGATGGCGACTGTCCTTGTCCTGGAGTTAATTGAGTTACTTGGTAATTAACTCCAGGGCAGAGGGGAGGGAATCATAATGCACTGTGGGTAAAATATGTGACTGTGTGTCTGAAATGTCCTTCTATCTGTCTGTAGTTTAAGTCTCCCATTTGGTCCCCTAGGGGAGTGTCCACCAGGTGGAAGACCTGCATAAATATGGGCAGGTAGCCCACAGTAAAACCAGATCCTGTTTGACCCTCAATGTGGAGCTTCTGTCTCGTTATTGGGGGGGATTTCTTCTTCACGTTTAGAGACTGCTGGATGGAACGAAAGCCGCTTTGGGGATATTATTGTTCGACGGTTACCAGCAGTTCGTATATTGCCGTTCGGGAGTTTGGAGCCGTTCGTGGATTTCGATCAGGAGATTGCCGCTTCCCCTGCATTTGGTTCGTATGTTACAGAGTAAGCGAACGGAGACTGTACAGCAGCCGGGAAGGTTTACCAAACGGCGGTTTTGCCTAAAGACACTGGAGGTGTCTTAACACT